CACATACTGAGACACAAACAACACACACACACACAAATCACACACACACACAGACACAAACCACACACAGAAACACAAACATAAACAAACACACAGAAACACAAACACACACACACACACACAAATACTGAGACACAAATAACACACACACACACACACACACACAAATACATATACTACACACTTAAGCACAATGCCAAACACACAATCACACAGAAACACACACACACACAAATCCACACACAGAGATAGAATCACACAAATTCAGACACAAACCACACAAACACACACACAACTACACACTTAAGCACAATGCCAAACACACAATCACACAAATACAAAGACACAAACATCACACACACACACACACAGATGGTGAGAGAAAGAAACATACAAACACACACACAAACACATAAACAACACACACAAACATACAACTACACACTTAAGCACAATAAAAAAATACAGACACACACACACACACACACACACACACAAACACACACACACACACAGAGAGAGAGAGAGAGAGAGAGAGAGACACAAAGAAAGAGACACACAGACTGAGACAGAGATATTCAGACACATACACATGAAGCTACACAATTAAGCACAACACAACCCCACACACACTTTAACATGCACACAAACAATACAAACATGCACATACGCAAACACACTCATACTTTCACAAACAAATAGTCACAATCACACACACACACACACACACACACACACACACACACACACACACACACACACACACACAGACACATGCAGAGACACACACATACACAACTACAGTTAAGCACAACACAGCACACACACTTAAACATGCACGCACACACAAACACTTAAAAACACAAAGACACAATCACACTCACACACTTTCTCTCTCTCTCTCTCTCTCTCTCTCTCCCGTCTCCTGTGGTGTCCATATGGCTCTCTGCCCCCCCGCTCCACATGAATCAACATGAGCAATGCATGCTGGGACGGAGCTCACACAGGCTGTGAATATTAAGAGCGGAGCAGGTGAAATGCCAGAGACACACTGCTGTCCTGCCCTCAGTAGGGAACATCACAGCGCTGTAGTGCACACTGCACACGCTCTTAAAGAGACAGTACACTCATACTGCAGACACCGACTAATAAACACAGGGAGAAATACAGGACGTCTGTCACATCTCCGAGCATGACTGAACAGAGCATGTTGATGTGATCCAAGACCTGTGAGGAGATGATGACAACCAAGACTTCTAGAGGTCTCCATGATCCTGGACCAGGCCGTATCCTGAGCTGCTGCTGTGGTGGTGGTCATGGAGGAGTGGAGAGCATTAGACTGATTCCTGTAAGACTCCAGTGACAGACGAGTCCATGCATGGATCTTGAAGGGTCAGCCTGTCCACCAGCCGGTGACCTCTCTCTCCTGCAGCTTCTCCAGCGTCTAGACTGCAGCTCTGCACAAGATGTTTGGCCAGAGGAGAAATGGTGGTCTCCAGCTGAGCCTGCTTTCTGGACAGGTTTTTTTTATCCTTCACTTTGGCCAATAGGTGAAGTTTGTTCCACCACCGGCTTGCTTGGTTTGGGACTTGTGGAGCAGGGCATGGATGGATTTGCTCTTCAGTGTTTGGACTCTCAGTATTGAATATTAATCCACACTGAACTAAGCTAAACTGAACTTTAACTCTGAAAACTGGACTGACACAGTTTCAGTCTACTAGAATAGGGGTGTCCAAACTCGGTCCTGGAGGGCCGGTGTCCTGCAGAGTTTAGCTCCAACTTGCCTTAACACACCTGCCAGAACAGTTCTAGTTAGCCTACGAAA